ATAATTTGTTAGTAAAATAAATTATTAACTAATTGAATAAGTTAGTAAATTTAATAAATAGAAATCTATGGATAATAATTTACTTAATTTTGTAAAATAAATAAATCAATTATTTATTGTAATAAAATAAATAAGTAACTACTCATTTATTATTGGGACATGATTGGTCCAAGTTATCTAGAACCAAACCTGACCCATTGACAATCCTAAATATTGGGGGCATGTTGAATTAAACAAATAAAAATTATGGATAATAATATATTTAATTTAATAAAATAAAATAATAATTAAATAATTAAAATTTTCACATTGGAAGTCAATTTAATATAAATTAATTAATTTTATTATCAAATAAAGAATACAAATCTTTTTTCTCAATTTCTTGGTCGAGTTTTGGGCTTTATATGGGGGTCGGGCTTGGGCTCAAGATCTAGGCCCGACAGTTCAGTCATGCTCAAACTTGGACTTGAATATGTTCGATTGATATAAAGGCAAAGGTTACATCCCGATGTGACCTATGAATAGGTTTAATCCCAACCCCATGGGTGGAGTCAAGGGGACTTAGGGAAGCCATGGCCCCCCATTCCACTTACATTTTGGCCCCCCTCATAAATATTAGGCTCAAACCTACCTATTGATAGCCCCAAATATAGGATTGCCAATGAGTTGGGTCTAGGTCAGAACCAATTGGAACTAGAACCGATCCAACATGAAATGTCGAGGACCCGGATCTGGACCTAGACCCGATAGGGTTTGTATTTTTTGGATTGGAACCGAATCGATCGGTTCTCGAGACAATTGGATCTAACCTGACAGACCTGAGTATAATAAATATAAAATAAATATTTATGTATAATATATATTAAATATTCTATATATATTATATGTATAGTATATATATAATTTATTTTTTTAATATATTATAAATTATATACATATATATTCTAAACCGATAGTAATTGGGACCCTATAGCAGGACCTAGAATCGACTTGTTGGTTCTAGATCGTAAAACTAGAATTGGGCCAATCAATTCGGGTCCATCGGGTCAGACCCAACCCATTGACAACCCTATCTAAATATTAGGTTCAAGGGGAGAGAATAATTTGTTAGTAAATTATTTATAAATAAATAAATTAGTAAAATAAATAAATAAATGTCTATTAAAATCTTTCTCTAAATGTCAAATCTCCTTTATTTTACTGATCTATAAATAACTTATTTACTTTTATTAACTAAATAAATGCTTAGATAATAAAAATAAAATAAATAATTTAATAAAATAAATAAATAAATGTCTATTAAAATCTTTCTCTCAATGTCAAATATATTTTATTTTATTGATTTATGAATAATTTATTTAATTTTATTAAATAAATAAATGAATAGTTAATAATAAAAAAAATAATTTAGTAAAATAAATAAATAAATGCCTATTAAAATTTGTCTCTCAATGTCAAATCTCCTCTATTTGACTGATTTATAAATAATTTATTAACTAAGTAAATGGTTAGATAATAATAATAAAATAAATAAATAAATGTCTATTAAAATCTTTCTCTCAATGTCAAATCTCTTTTATTTTATTGATTTAAAATTATTTATTTAATTTTATTAAATAAATAAATGCTTAGATAATAATAAAAAATAAATAAATAAAAGTTGAGATAAAGAATAGGACGAGAGAGAGAATTAAGCAAGAGAGAAGAGGGATGACATCTTTTTTAGGATGGCATAATTGTAAATAATTATATATGACATTGTTGTAATTTTCAAATATCATAGAGACATTGTTGTAAAGGGAGTAATTTATCTTATATGTGGCATTCCTATAATTTTTGAATGCTTTAGAGTCAATTAAATTGGAAGGCTTGTCTTATATGTAGTAGTCTTGTAATTAAGAATTCTACATAGAGGCATTTACAAGTTAGAAGGTTTGTCTTATATGTAATAGTCATGTAATTTTCGAATAATATAGGGGTAATTACAAGTAAATCGCAAAAAGGGGTTGTCTTTAGACTTGTTCATGGGCTGGGTAGCCCGATGGCCCAGCCTAACCCGTT